ACAGGGCGCTTGCTGACGAGTGGCTCGGACCTGGAGATCCTCATCACCAAAGGGGTAGTGGCGAGCCGGCTGGCAAAGCTGAACAGTGTTGCTTACAACACTCACCCCAGCGTGGATGATGGGATCCATTTCTCTCCCCAGGAGAGGGCAGGGCAGTATTGCGGCTATGAAGTTTTTGGGGCCATTCTCAATAAAGTGGTTGATCCAGCCAGATGTACCCTGCATGGGGAAGGTAACACGGTGCTGTACAACAGCTGAATGGGAATGCACTGCTCCCTGAAGTCACCTTCTCTGTACCCACATGCTGTGCAGCTTAGGGCACTGTTGGCTCCCTGCTGTCCAGGCACTGACTAGGGGCAGAGGGGTATGGCAGGGTAGAGCCCTGCCAGAGATTGCATTGCTTGCTGAGGGCCTATGGGAGCCGTGCTGGGCAGGGAGACAGAGAACTATCCCCAGCCAGATGTGACAGTGCACTGGAGCTGCCCTCCGTAACATTAATGACCTCAGCACAGGGTGAGGTGTGAGGAGAGCAAACCATAGGCCAAAGACCACAGCTTACTTGGGGGATGGTACCTGCAGTGGCAGGATGTGATGCTCGCCCAGTGTCCCCAGCTCTTCTGCAGCATGGGCCCAGGCAGATCCCCTCTGTGACTGAGCGAGGTCCCCTTGCAGCTTCTGCTGAGATTGACGTGGGAATAACTGGCATAGATGGTTTCATGGGTGTTTGCTTATTAACAACTTGGGGTAGGGCCAGCAAACAGATAATGTTCAGACCAGCCCACAGAGCGTAGCCACCTCTGGTCAGTAATGGCCTGCGCAAGGCAGATGAGACAGACCCAGGGCTCATTCGAGCTTTTCCATGCCAAATTATAAGTGCTGAAGCCTCTGGGGCTCCACACTGCGCAGTGTGCTGTTCCTCCTCCCTCCTGGCTGCATGTTGCACCTTGAGGCCTTCTGGGAAGATACCAGCTGGGCTCAGAGGGGCAGGCAGGAAGACCACCCTGGTCCATACAGACTTCCAGGCTAAGCCTGCCCAACATCCCCCTGTGCCTATGGCTGTCCACTCTCTCTCAGTGATATCTTTACTTTTCCCTGTAGGTGGAAAGAGCTGTACACCCACCCCATCAGCAGAGTCCTGGCTGTGCTCTGATGGGACTGCAACACTGCAAAATAGGTGGGAGGTGGCAATCATGGCTGGTGTGAATCCTTTCTGGTCCTGTTTCTCTGCCTGACAGATCTCCACAGTGCCCGTCAGAACCAGCTGACTGGCTTTACCTTGCTCTGCTGTGACACCACGGGGGAGCGGATGGGGCGAGGAGGAGAGGCCGTGCGGGTCACCATCACCCACAAGGACAAGAGGGACTGGTGGGTATTTCACCTGAGAACGCCCCAGTCACTGGGTTTGCCTTTCCGTCTCCCTTACCCTGGCTCCCTCCTTGTTTGGGCAGGTGGGAGGACATGCTTCAGCATGTGGGTCAGAATCTGTAGGGGAAAAGGCGCTACTGTTCTTCCCACCGAAGTAGGAAGCAGTGCTTCCTACTGGTTGTATTTGGCTGTGTGGAGCTTGGCAGTGTTGGCTCAGATTATCGCCAGCACCCCTATGACTTCACCGGCAATGTCATCCACAGGCATGGGGACGCCTTGCGGGAGCTGCTGAAAGGCACTCAGCAGCACATGGGTACCCTAGAGAGTGCGCTGAGCCAGATTGATGGCATGGGCAGTGCCATCCGCAGTCGCACAGAGGCCGTGGCCACAGAGGTCTGTCTGTTTGCCAGTGGGTATGTGAAAGCAATTGAAGAGCACAGGGACCGGCTACTGAAGCAGCTGGAGGACTTGAAAGTGCAGAAGGAAAACCTGCTGCACTTGCAGAAGGCCCAGCTGCAGCAGCTGCTGCTGGACATGCGGACTGGCGGGGGCGTGGATGATGGGATCCAGTTCTCTCCCCAGGAGAGGGCAGGGCAGTATTGCGGCTATGAAGTTTTTGGGGCCATTCTCAATAAAGTGGTTGATCCAGCCAAGCCGGCTGGCAAAGCTGAACAGTGTTGCTTACAACACTCACCCCAGCGTGGATGATGGGATCCAGTTCTCTCCCCAGGAGAGGGCAGGGCAGTATTGCGGCTATGAAGTTTTTGGGGCCATTCTCAATAAAGTGGTTGATCCAGCCAGATGTACCCTGCATGGGGAAGGTAACACGGTGCTGTACAACAGCTGAATGGGAATGCACTGCTCCCTGAAGTCACCTTCTCTGTACCCACATGCTGTGCAGCTTAGGGCACTGTTGGCTCCCTGCTGTCCAGGCACTGACTAGGGGCAGAGGGGTATGGCAGGGTAGAGCCCTGCCAGAGATTGCATTGCTTGCTGAGGGCCTATGGGAGCCGTGCTGGGCAGGGAGACAGAGAACTATCCACAGCCAGATGTGACAGTGCACTGGAGCTGCCCTCCGTAACATTAATGACCTCAGCACAGGGTGAGGTGTGAGGAGAGCAAACCATAGGCCAAAGACCACAGCTTACTTGGGGGATGGTACCTGCAGTGGCAGGATGTGATGCTCGCCCAGTGTCCCCAGCTCTTCTGCAGCATGGGCCCAGGCAGATCCCCTCTGTGACTGAGCGAGTTCCCCTTGCAGCTTCTGCTGAGATTGACGTGGGAATAACTGGCATAGATGGTTTCATGGGTGTTTGCTTATTAACAACTTGGGGTAGGGCCAGCAAACAGATAATGTTCAGACCAGCCCACAGAGCGTAGCCACCTCTGGTCAGTAATGGCCTGCGCAAGGCAGATGAGACAGACCCAGGGCTCATTCGAGCTTTTCCATGCCAAATTATAAGTGCTGAAGCCTCTGGGGCTCCACACTGCGCAGTGTGCTGTTCCTCCTCCCTCCTGGCTGCATGTTGCACCTTGAGGCCTTCTGGGAAGATACCAGCTGGGCTCAGAGGGGCAGGCAGGAAGACCACCCTGGTCCATACAGACTTCCAGGCTAAGCCTGCCCAACATCCCCCTGTGCCTATGGCTGTCCACTCTCTCTCAGTGATATCTTTACTTTTCCCTGTAGGTGGAAAGAGCTGTACACCCACCCCATCAGCAGAGTCCTGGCTGTGCTCTGATGGGACTGCAACACTGCAAAATAGGTGGGAGGTGGCAATCATGGCTGGTGTGAATCCTTTCTGGTCCTGTTTCTCTGCCTGACAGATCTCCACAGTGCCCGTCAGAACCAGCTGACTGGCTTTACCTTGCTCTGCTGTGACACCACGGGGGAGCGGATGGGGCGAGGAGGAGAGGCCGTGCGGGTCACCATCACCCACAAGGACAAGAGGGACTGGTGGGTATTTCACCTGAGAACGCCCCAGTCACTGGGTTTGCCTTTCCGTCTCCCTTACCCTGGCTCCCTCCTTGTTTGGGCAGGTGGGAGGACATGCTTCAGCATGTGGGTCAGAATCTGTAGGGGAAAAGGCGCTACTGTTCTTCCCACCGAAGTAGGAAGCAGTGCTTCCTACTGGTTGTATTTGGCTGTGTGGAGCTTGGCAGTGTTGGCTCAGATTTGTTTTGACTCTCTGAGTGATTTGGGACTTCTTAAAGGATTCAAATCTCAGTGGGTGTTGCTCCTTCCCACCCCTAATAGTAGACACCCATGGCTCCTGCTTTTGTTAACACCTAATGAGTGTAAAACATAGCAACCCCAGGATGACTGTCAGACAGACAGTCCATTAAGCCTTGGAGCCTCTGACAGTCCCTAGTTCATGTTCTGAAGAAAGAATCTGTGTTGGGAATTCATCATGCATTCTCATGTAGTTGCAGTGTTGAGCACTTTAACAAGTTTGGAGGTTTTCTAGCAAAAGCAGGGAAGACCACACTTGACCTCCTAAGTCTTTCCACAGTAAAAATAACCAACAAGAAAAAATTATTTTGTAACTGTTTCCCAGGCGCACTTGTAAAGCAGCCAGGCAAAAATGCAGAACCAGTTGGGGGTCAGTTCTTAAGAAAAACATCTATTCTGTTTTGCAGTACGCACAATGTAGCTGGAGCAAGATGCTGGTGTGACTTGTTCCAGGATCCACTGGTGGTGGGATGACCTGATGAAAAAAGGGACAGGATGCTAAAACTCCTGGCTGTGAGGAAGTGTTGACATGGCATACAGAAACAGTGCTGGCTGCACAGATGCTTATCAGTAGCACATCATTGTTCAAGAATATCATTCCAAGTGTACCTTCCTTCCTTAGGTGCACATACGACACAGGAGGGTGTGCACATGAGGATTACGTGGGTTGTGCTTGGTGGGGTAGAGGTCGCTGTGGCCACATTAACTCAGTTTCTTGTTCTTGTGCGTATGCAGTGGCTACATCCGTTGCTGAAAGCCGTCTGGCTTTGGGTTGAGGCACAGCAGCTACAGAAGAGCGTGAAGTGTCACCACACAGTTCATGGCAGGAAATGATGTAGGCACCTGTATCGATGTGAAATGGTGGGGGGTGGGGAATACAGCCTGCAAATCTAGAAGATTATAAACTGTCATATCGTGGGGCACAAGGGACTAATTAGTGGGGATTAGGAAGGACACCTTCCTCTATGCAGACCTGCCTGATAATTGTCTGTGGAAAGCTCTTTCCATCTTTCTGTGAAGCAGGCAATCAGTCCCTAAGTAACTAGCTGATGATTTCTCCCTGGCGCTCTGTCCACCAGGGTTCCTTGTGAAACCCAGTGAGCTTCACTGTGGAAAGGGAGAGTTCACCTGCAGGGACCTAGAACTCCTCAGAGCACTGAAGAGAAGAGTCGGGGTCAATGCATTTGGGACAGTGGTTGAAGTGACTCAAACCTGCCCTGTTTATGTCCTTGTCTTATCATGAGCTCTTCTGGAGGCAACTGCTCTCTGAAGCTGTGAATTTACCCTATTTCTGAAGGCTCTTATCTGAAGGGATAATCTGACCTGCAAGTGTGCTGTCTGTCATCTTCTGTTCTTTCAGCACTCAATGTTGCTACAAATCCTTGCAGTGCAGCTAGCTTTGTGTGACTTCCTTTGTATGGCTATTGCAGCTCCTGGTAGCAGGTGTGTGTGAAAGCTACTCAGTGCTTGAGCATTGCTTGTGCATCCTGTTAAGCTTGCTTAAGACCCACAGCTGTTGAACAAGGTTGAGGATAAGGAACCAACCAGAAATCTAGGCCAAACAGCGGTTCACATGTAGAGCAATTTTCTGCCAGTCACTGACCTCTTGGACTTCTCTCTGTTCCTAGTGCAGTCAAGCCAACAGCGTGTGATAATGGTGATGGGACGTACCATATTTCCTACAGCCCTGAGGAGCCAGGCTTGTATGCTGTCTGCGTCTATGTGAAAGGGCAGCATGTTCAGGTAGCATTTCTTGTTTCTTTTGCGCTGCTGCTGCTTTATCTGCTTTTCTTTCCCAAGTATTTGCTTTAAGTCTTTCTAAGGATTACCTCTACCACTTAGCAGTTTAAGACTGGGCTTAGTGATCTGTGACTGACCACCTGGTTGGTTTTTGAAAACACAGACACAACATCTGATAGCATCCACTGCAACAGTCTCTCTGCTTGCTTGTCCTCTGCAGGGCTCTCCATTCACTCTGATGGTGAAAAACAAGTTCCGTGAGCACCAAGGTGTGTTTCACTGCTGCACATTCTGCTCAAGCGGAGGGCAGAAAGCTGCTCGATGTGCCTGTGGGGGGACCATGCCAGGTGAGTGCTCAGCTTTCCCCATGGTGCTGGCATCAGGAAGGTTTGTTGCATTTGGTCCTCCCTAGTGTAGATAGCTGTGAGTAGATACTCTAGCCCAGCTCCTGCTTTGCACATGCACCAGGCCTGTGATAACCTGTGCGTACATATCTTCTTGGTAGGATGGGACTGCAGCAGTGAGAAATGCAGCAGGACATGCTACAGGTCTTTGCAGCACACCCCTTAGACAGAGATCTGAGCCAACTCTGCAGGGGATGGGACAGGGCAGCTCCGATTTCAGCCCTTCTCAGCAAGGCTAAGCAGCACTGTGTCTGTACTGTTCCTGTTCCAGTGCTGGCAGGTTTGGAGGTTCCAGGCTTGTAACATGGTGCCCAATGCTGTCCTATGGAGAAGCCTCACTCCCTGTTTAGGATGAGAGTTCAACTCCATTACTTGTTTAATCCCAACCAGCTTCCCTGTCCTTGACCTGCATGTGTCATTGTGTGTTTTGCTTGTTTTAGTATAGAGCCAGCCTCTCCCTTTTTCTGTGCTTGATCTGTATCTAGCTCTGGCCATAGCCACCAGTGGCTGGCACAGGGTTCTGCAGGCCTGTCTCTTGCATTACTTAACAGGCAAGGGGACAGAAATCTTCAACTTTCCCCAGCGATTGGAACGGGGAGGTCCCCGTCACTTCTTCTTTCTTTATGGAGCCCTGGTAATTTTGGCCTTGAATAAGCTGTGTTCTCATCAGCACGTGCTTCCCCGATGGAGCCCTGGTAATTTTGGCCTTGAATAAGCTCATGCTTCATGCTTGTTCTCATCAGCACGTGCTTCCCCATCTTAGGCAAGTCCTGGGGCTGAAGCACTCGCTGAAAGCCTCTGACACACTGGGATTTTCTAGCCCACTTTTGGTTCAGCTGATGGTGCCTCTTCTCTTGCAGGTGGGTACCAAGGCTGTGGCCATGGACACAAAGGTCACCCTGGCTGCCCGCACTGGTCGTGCTGTGGACAAGTGAAGGAGAGCTCGGAGTGTTTGAGTGGGCCATCCAGCGACATCTCACAGAGGAGTTTGCTCAGAACAGTGGCGCTCTGAGCAGCCAGGTGAGCCCCTGTGAGCCCAGGGCACTGCTGCTGGCTGCTGCACGAGCACAAACCACACGAGGATCCCCACGATCACTGCATAGCCTCGCTGCCAGAAAACATCATGATGGGTGCAAACGGAGAAAGAGGAATGAGGGAAAATAAAATTGTGCCTTATATTTCACATGGGGCTGTGTATGCAAAGTTGTTTTGTGCCTGAACAGGAGCAAACATTGGACATTGTACTGGTGCCTACATTTTCAAGGACCCGAGGCCTGTGGGGTCAGGGTCTAAGGGGAAACTCAGTCTGAGCAGTTACCTCACAGGAGGGTCAAGATGTGCCTCATTCTGCAGGATTGACAATCCCTGCTGTTCTTGAAGAGGCCAAAGCTGCTTGTTGGGGCACATTCCAAAAGGTTTGTGTTTGTGTCTTGGAAAGGCTTGGCAGCCTGAATATGGCTTCTGCCTCCACATCAGAACATGGCTGGATTCTGGCCTTGGATGTGCGAATGTAGCACAACCATGGTCCCCAGAGCTATTGTTGTGTTTGCAACTCTTATATTTTCTCCAAGTGAGCTGTAGTCTCATTACACCCTCCCTGCAAAGTAAGAGCAAGCTGGGTTAGTAATATATCTGAAGGAAATCCAAGGAAAGCCCGTGGCACTGACAGGAATAGGAATTAGAATGTCATTCACCCCGTCTGTCTGTTCTCCATGGAGATGGTGTGGGACATAGCACTGCTGGGGGTGATATGGAACCCAGGAGAGCACCCAGCTCACCAAGGGAAGATCTGGGGACAATCTCAGCATTGGTGGGAGCCATAGGTGCAGGTTTGCAGGTGTCCTGAACTGTGGCAACTAGGGAAGAGCAGCAGCAGGAAACAGAACACAGCAAAACTCCTGGATTTGGCTTGTGCAGCCTTGGCAAGACTCTGTTTTTAGGAGAGCTTGTCCCGTTTTCCACAGGGGCAGATGTATCTTTTGGACTTGTACGTGCGTTGCCAACCTGTAGTTGGGGTAGTGGCATTTATAATGAGGAGGAAGAAGCATGGGGACAACTGCTAACCTGCCGATCGCTGCCTGCTGCTTGCCTAGGTGAAGCAGACACCCTGGATACCTTCCTGAACAAAACACATCCGTGTCATTGAGACTGGGAGCGCTACTGCCCTGGGGGTAACCTTGCTAGTAGGTGCGTGTTGCCAGGGGCTCGTAATACTGCCTGGGGAGCTGGGGTGGGGACAAAGGTCTGACTGTTGGTCATTTGGGGAGAGGAATGCTGCTCCAGTGTCAACAGTAAGGACTGGTTCTTGCTTTCTGGCTGATGATAGCTGCCTTGTAAATAATAGAAACCTGTGCTGTCTGTTTGCTTGCTCAGACCTAGAAGACTCATTTGCTGTTCATGCCTCTTACAAAGCCAGTTTTGAAACCTCTTCCTCCCAGCAAAGGAGATAGATATCCTTATGCAAATGCTGTTTATCGCTTTCCATTAGTCATCCAGAAAGGGCTGTCAAACAAACAGGGGGAAGGTTGGGCAGTTTAAATCTCCAAGTTGCTGACTCTGGAATTTCAAAGTGGAAGTTTAATTTGAGTTAACATTTAATGGAACAAACTATTTCATTCTTGTCCTTGCTATGTGCAGAGTCAGTGCTCAGTATAGAATATGATGTAAAACGAAATGCTTCATTTTCTGTGTCTTTCTATTTCTTGCCCCCGAGCCCCCTACTTGTGTGCTGTTTTTTCTCAGAGCTTCCATGCTGTGTTGCAGAGAGAACACATCAGGACGGCACTACCTTCCAGGCACGTAATTTCTGTCTAAAAACATCTCAGTCCTCTCAGACAGAGGAATGTGTTTTCTCTTTGTGTTAGGCCTCCCTTACACACCCCGTCGCTGACATTTTCCAAGAAGCTGTTCGTGAGAATTACACCAGTGAAACGTATAAACATTCAGGGAACTGCAGTCAGCTTGGGCTGAGCTTTATGTTTGACAGGGGGAGAGCAGTTTTCAGACAGCATGGGGTACTAATCCTGCCAGGGTCAGGCCCTTGTATTGATTTTTTTTTTTCCGGTAGACTTGAAGGCTCAGTTAGTCCTAGGGATTATAAAGTATTGACCGGCTACCACGCTGTGTTTGGGCAAAGCAGGCTGTGCGTGAGGATAGCTTAAAGAATCACGTGCAGAAACATTTCATGACCACTTTGTGGGGGTTAGGTGCGAGTGTCCTCCCATTATTTGCAAGAAGACTTTGCCCTCAGTGTTCATTAATCAGAATGCTTTGCGAAATTAATATATCCTACTGATCTGCTGGAGTTTCACGCTGGTCCCCAACAGCCATTCCCAGGAATGGCTTCCAGTGCTCTGTTGGTAATCAGCCTAGGGCAGGTGGTGGATTAGGAGCTGTAATTGGTCTGCTGGGCTACATGATGTTATTTCTGACCAGTTGGTCCTTGAGATAACAAAGGTGTTTTTAAGACAGACATACATGCAGTGCTGACAGAACAGCACTGGTAAATATGCATGTTTTTTCCCAGGGTGGAAGCCCTTGCTGATAAAATTACCTGTCTCCAAACTTTGGGAATTAAAAAAAAAAAGAAAATAAATTACGATAAACATGAGTACGGGCTTTGGGAGGCAAGAGGAGTTAGTTACTCCCTGGATAGGGAAAACAGAGTGTAGCTGGAAGGAAATACACAGCAAGAGCAAGAGACTGTGGAAGACCTGGAAGAGGCCCTGCAGCCTGGAAGGCTCCACGTAGGATGCCTGTGGGGTTAGGTGTCATGCTAGGGTATCTCTCCCTTCTCAGAGGAGGCAAACCACACCAGTGACACGGCTGCACTTGTAGCTCTGTGCATGATTGTCTAGTTTGTCCCCAGAAGATTGCAAGAGCAGTGCAGGAGCTGGCTCAGCGGGGCTTCTTGGCCTTCCCACGGCAGGAGGTGTTTCACAAGGGAGTGCTGACCACCTGGGGCTCACCACCTCCCTGTTTTGAGAGATGAGGGCTTGTTCTGAGTGCTGCTGCTTCCAGCTTCCCTTCAAGGGCAGGCGAGGCCAAGGACAGGTAGAGCTGAAAAGGCTCTCCTCCTTCCAGCCTTCAGGGCAGTACCACTGGTGTTCCCATCTCCAGTGCTTCTCAAGCACCTCTTGACACCATCGTTACAGATGTGGGAGCACAAGGCTGGAAAGGTGTCCAACTTTTTTGGCCAAATCCCAAGGATAGCTTTCATCTGCTTCAGCCTGCTGGCTGCCTTCACATCTCTTGAGTACTACATCAAACTCGGCTACTTGTCAGCTTGCCACAACTCATCTTCTCCTGGTTCTTCTCCTTCGCTGATAGCCCCTTCAGCTTTCTAGTGATGTTGAAATAAGGCATGAACTTGCCATAAGCAAGGGAACTCTTTTGACAGAATTATTATTTGTGAAGAAAGAAACAAGTTGTATTATGAGGGGCAGAGCGACTGTAGTCTGATTCTTGTGCCTGTGCCTTCCCCAGACCACTGAACATCTTCTTGGGCCCTGACCCACCTTTGATCCTTCCTCCCCCCACTGTTCCCTCACGCAGACAAGTGGCAGCACATGCTGTGGCTAGCTGTTTGGCACCAGCTGGTGGGCCCAGCAAAACTGGTAACACTTTGTGCCTGCTGTCACCTTCCCCTCAATGAAGACAGCTGATGTCTCTCTTCCCCAGGTGTTCACCATCTTTCACAGACCATGCGGGACCAGATCTTTCTGTCACATTTGGTTGGATTTTTTTAACAGATTCAAAAGTGGTAAGAGCTGGTCAGAAATGATTGTGGTGCTGTCCTGGTGAATGGGACTTGACTTGATCCTACCAGGGCTGCCTGTGCTTGAGAAACAGACCTGTTTTTCCAACATGGAAGTAACCTGATCATTGGCTGTGTGTTGAGGTGTGCTGCGGCTACGACTGGAGTTAACTGGTGCAGTGCACCAAAGGCAGCTGTAAATCAGATGTCACCGAGGGCAACAGGATATTTCTTAATGTGCAGTTCCCACCAGGCCATTATGGCCTAGAGCTGTTCTTCGCTTCTAGTAACGCTCTGCTAAATTATGACAAGTTTAGTAATCAGTAGAATATTACAAAATAAATCAGATTTCTTTTTTTTTCAGATTAAAAAGGTCGATTCCATGCTAAAGCAGAAAGGAAGTGAAAACCATATAAAGTCTGCTTTATAAGTTTAAACTTTTTGCAACAACCAAAGAGCAATAGTGATTCTCAGGTGAAAGATTTCCACTCTTCAGTTTCATTCATAGACCATAGGATGAAGGATGTGCTTTCAGTAACAACAAGATTGGAGCATTAGAAGTAGGTCCTGTTCATACCTCTGCCACAGACCTTGCACAGGGCCTTCAGGTAGCTCCTCTGCCTGGAGAGCAATTAGCTTCCCAGTCAAGCACTCACACTGAAGTAGCACATGAATGGCTGAGTAAGCCCAATGGCTAGTGACTCTTGGAAGGAGGAGATCCCACCCTGGCTCCTCTGTCCTTGCTGCAGGTGTGGCTCTCCTCTGACCGCATGGGGAGCCAATTCAACTCCCTAACCTGGCAAGAAACCATTTGCTTTCTAATTTTACTTTGTTTCCTAGCAGGTGACTAGGCTTAGTGGAGGTTCAGATCTGTGCTCTCATCTGTGCAGGAGGAGGTTCAACACAAGCTGTGACATGTAACTTCATCCTGGCATGAGGAGGCTGGAAGCGGTGTGTCCTGGGTGCTAAATGCCTTGGAATACAGTTTGCTGACTTGGATGCCTGTACAAGAGCCACAGCCCCTTCCAGCCCCTTCTCTGCTGTCTAGAAAAGTCTGTCGTGCACCACAGCTGGCTATGTTCATCCCTTGTAGAGGTAATCAGGCTCTTTTGGAGTTGAACTGTGGTCCAGAAGATTAAGCGCACACTTCTGAAATCTCACACATGCATGGTTAGAAGGCTACTGTGCCCCTCAGGGCATCGTAAGCCCTTCTGAACCCTACTCAGCTTTGGCAGCTGGTTTGGTCATCACTGACCAGTACTAATTGGTCTTGATTTTAACCTCTGATTGTTGCAGAGAAAGTAATCTGGGTTTCGTTAAGTGCTGGACTGTTCCTAGTTCCTCTGGGCATCCTCAGGTCTGCACGAGAAAGCTGTTCACTCCCACTAATCATCCAAACTTGCTGGAGACAGCTATGGACTGTCAAAAATTCCCCTTTCCCCATCATTCCTGGAATGCAGTCCAGACACAGATGACAGGAATCACAGGTTCCCCTTCAGGAAACTGAGCGTGGTGGTACAAGCTGCCTTCCCTTTTCTGCTCTTTTGCAACCTCTCTGCCCTTCTCAACCTCTTAGGCCCAAGAGCTACTCATCCTGCCCCCAGCCTCGAGTGAGACCAAGCACAGAGGGAAAAGCTTGCAGGGTCTGTGCCAGTTTCTTTCCTTTACCATGCTCTGATGCCCACCATAATGGCAGATCTGAGACCAGTGGGAGCTGGCCTTGGGAAGGAGAAGTAGTTTGGTCTGGAGGAGTTCAGCGGAAGAAAGCGTCAGTCAGAAAAGAGGCCGCTGCTTAACCTGTTGTGGCTCTGACAGCACTGCTGAGCCTGGAGGAGCCTCTTAGCAGAGCATGGAGAGGTGGGGGAAGATGCACATCATAAATGGAGCCAGGAAGGGCACCCGCAGGTGGGACCTCTCTGCCCAGTGCCAACAGCATGACTGGAAATTTTAGCAAGGAGACCTGGATATAAGACAACCCACCAGTGACGAGTGAGCTGTGGATCTACATGGGATGCTGCTGCACTCTGCCCCCGGATTAGCTGGCTACCAAACTGTGGGCTGTGTTATTTTTATTTTAAATCAGACATGCCTCTGTAATGGATGGTGTAGGAGGTCTCTCCTGTTGCCCCAGTGACTAACCAGGCCTCCCTGCTTTTGACTGGCCCGATGAGGGGAGCTGAGATGCTCACTGCTTCCTCATTCCTCAGAGTTTACTGCTTGGGCTCACCACTCCTTGGCTGAGTTCAGTTATTTAAGCAGGACAGCCTGGGAGAATATATCACGCGAAGGACAGGGGCTGTGCTGAGCAGTGTGGGACCTTTGGGCACCTGGTGTTTGGCTTGTCTTCATAGGTGCTGTGACCATGGCATCCCAAGGCCAGGTCATTTTCTGGAGGTATGGTATTATCTGCATCTGCTTTGGGAGAGAGGAGGGAGGGAATTGCATTTTGCAGAGGCCTCTGCTGTAGCACCCTGCTGCCAGGAGCTTTCAAGACAGCAGTTCTTTGCAGCTTGACTCTATACTGCACTCATCCAGACTGCTTAAATACCAGTATAGCTTCTTTTATACAATCCATAAAGTGATGTTGCTGTCAGACACCCACATGCAGGTCATCAACTGCAGCCAGGATGGAGATGTATGTATGTCCTAGAAACTGTGCATGGCTGGAATACGCTATCTCAGGTTTGAACGCTGTGGTAGGTTGGGGTATCAGTGGCTCGAGAAAGGCTCCACCTTCCTTCTGCTGGCCCTCAGACAATCGCTTACATCTCCATCACATCAGCATGATGTGGGCAGAAAGGCAAAAGCTGTCCTACTACTAAAAGTTTCCTTGCTGTGTGAGTCAGGAGTAAGCTGGGAAGATGTGCAAGCTGGTTTGTGCCTCTTGTTTCAATGAGCCTGTTTCCTTTGGAGCTGTTGACCAAGTCCCGGTGAAGTACACCCGGAAAAAGAAGTGTCATGGGAAGGCCATAAAAATATCTACCTCGTATCCCTATCTCCTGATTAGTTGAAAATAACCTCCACAAGATGGCTTAATTAATTGGCAAACATGCTTCAACCTCCGATGAATGTGGACTGGGCTTGCATCTAAACCCTGCTGCTTAAACAGAGCCACTAACAAGCTGCATCTCGTCATCCCAGGTGTGGGCTCTTCCAGGCTGGAAGGAGGCAAAGGCTCCAGTGAGGTATGTGAGACATCCCTGCTCACATTTATTCTGTCAGAAAGGTTTCAGCTGTTACGAGTATCCATCCCACCTAAGCTGAACAGCAGCGGGGAGAAGGAGCCTGCGTGTGAACAGAAGAGACCCCTAAGGCATGAGCTGTGCTCCAGCTTTCTCACATGGAGCATCAGGGAAGAACTAAGTAGTAGTAGTATTTGCACCTTTTCACTGATGAAAGTGAGATCAGTAGCAGATATAATGTAACACGGTGTAAATGTCCACTGGGCATCATATTCCTCACGCGTCTGGAATGCATGTCATAACCAGCTCTCTTATTCTCAAGAGGCAGCCCGGCTGCCTTTTGTCAGGGAAATGCAGTAACTGGTGGGTGTGAAAAAACGAATGCCTACCCCTTGCTGGTCTGAGAACCATCGGCCGCTCTGCCAGCGCCTCTGCCCACCCCGGGCGGCTGCCCGCAGCTGGTCGGCAGCAGGTGACTGGAAGCAGCCAGCTTCTTCAAGGCCATTGGCCTCTTCAGGTTAATCTTGAAACACAGAAATAGGCCAGAGAGAGGGGTGAATTTTCCAGGAAGCTTCAGAGAAGCAGTGGGAGGTTTCTACTGATTTCAGGAAAAAAACAAAACAGAACAAAACAAAGCAACTCAAAAAATAAAACTGAAGCACTGAGAAAAGTTGAGCTCTGCAGTCATTAACTGCTTATTGGAATGGAAACCCCTTCCTTTTGGGTTACCCCTGCCATGCTATTTCTTTCCCACAGTAAGCTTTGATGTAAAGAGGAAGGCAGGGGACTTTCAATCTCTTAATCTTCCAGGTTTTTTGATCCTCACACCTCTAAACCCATTCCCAAGGGAAAGCTTACTCTGTGCGGAGCTAGAGATCAGGAGGATTAAGCTTCTGCTGCCTGTCACAGCAGGGCTGCGAGCCTCTCTGTCCCCTGTGCTCAGCAGCATCCAGGCTGCTCAGAGCTGTGGGCAAAGCCCCGTTTGGCTGTTCAGGAACGGGACTGGGGAAAAGAGGGTAGGATGTGTAGGGCGGCATCCCGCAGGCTGCCAAAGTGCTGCCGGGAAACAAGGGCAGCACCAGGGCTCTGGCTTGTGCAGCCCCCGCCATCTGCATCAGCCAGTATCCATGACTCTGAAACGCTGGAAGTATGAGGGGTGCCGATGCACAGAAGATTGCTTTTTGCTTGAACTGCTGGACTGGACTGTTGCGAAACACAGCTACTGTCAGCATGTGGCCGGGTTGCCAGCTTCCTCTTTTTTGTTTGCCCTGCGTTCCAGATGGACTCAATATGCATGGGGGGCTGGCAGGCAAATATTTTTAAGGCCCTTGTGATTCTTGGATCTCACAGTTTCTGTGGAGGACACTCCAAAGGGCCTGGTTTCCCCTTGTCCCTGGCAAGGAGTGTTGAAGTGTGCAGTGACACCCATGTACCCAAAATTGCCATCCCTGTCCCATAACAAATGAGTGGCTTTTTCCATCAGCCCTGACGCTGCCTTGAACCAGGGGTGGGAAGCACCTCTCTGAATGCAAAGCTAGCAAGGCAGAGGTGGTGTTCAGGCCAGAGGGTCCTTTCGAGGACTGGGGACAGATGTGGTGGCACCTGAAACTTTCAGAGACTGCACAGGAGGGTCATG